TCGGCGCAGTACTGCGTCCAGCGATCGCGCAACGCGTCGGGAAGCGGCTCGTCCCAGCTCACGCTCGCCAGCCAAAGTTCCTGCATGAGAATCTTGGCGGGAATAATGGCCGGGGCGGCCCATCCGTGCGGATCATATAATTTTGCGGTGAATGCTAGGACGGAACGCTTCGTCGCGATAGCGTTGTAGCACGAAACTTTAAATTGAAAGGCGTCCTCGCGGGGCAACCACGATAACCCCAGGACTTTGAGCGAATCATCCTTGCAGAAGTGTAAATCTGATATTGCTTTCTGGTCGGGTGGAAGATCGTTTAATAATTCGCGTGTATTAGCCGTCCACTTACGCAAAGTGAACTGGCCGCGTTTGAGTAGGGACACGAGTTGTTCGCGAAGCTCTACCAGTTGTGTTATTTCGTCGGCGCCAAATAATGCGTCGTCGACGTAAATCGAGTCGCGAACGATCGGGACCGCTTTTGGGAAGAGATGACCATCGTCGGTCGCTAACTGTTGCAGAACCTTTAATGCGAGGTACGGGGCACACGCAGTGCCGTACGTTACTGTAAGGAGTCGGTAGTGTTGAAGATCCGAAGCGCCCGGGGGTCGCCACAAAATCCGCTGGTAGTCGACGTCATCCGGATGCACCAAAATTTGGCGGTACATCTTGGCCACGTCGGCGGTATAGACAAATTGAAACTGCCGCCATCGCAGCATGATCGCAGCGAGATCCTGCTGCAATTTCGGCCCAATTAAGAGGTGCTCGTTGAGCGTCGTACCGCTGGAGGTCCGACACGAAGCATTGAACACTACTCTCAATTTGGTGGTGCTACTCTCCTCCCGAGTGACCGCGTGATGAGGGATATACGCGGCGCGATGCGGAGGGGGAACGATTTCCGAGACACGTTCCATGTGACCGAGAGTGTGATACTCTCTAAGAAAGTCGTGGTAAGCCTGAGCCAGGGCGGTGTCGCGCAAGAGCCGTTGTTCAAGCCTAGCATACAACTTACGCGCTATCGGAAATGATGCTCCGATAGAGAGGGGTGGTGCTTCCCGGAAGGGGAGGCGCACCACATAGCGACCTTGAGGGGTGCGCGTGTACGATGAGGCAAAGTGCTCTTCGCACTTTTGCTCATCGTCGGTGAGCGGAGGCGAGGAAGACGGGACGTCTTCGTCGCTCCAGAATCTTTGAACTAGTGAATTAAGATCCTCTATCGCGGCGCAGGTGTTTACCTGGGCGGACGAGGAGGGAGAGGGCGAGGTGCCCGCTGGGCCTGAGAGGACCCAGCCAAAGACTGTTGATTGCGCGGTAGGCGTTCCGGGAGGACCCTGCCGTATGTCGTTCTGCAAGAGTGAGCCATACAGATCCGCTCCAATTAACAGGTGAATGGGATCTCGACTTGACGGGTCGGAATCCGCGAGAGCCAGCCCGCGCAAATGCGGCCAAGAATCGACCGGCTGGGTCTGAGACGCGGCGTAGGCAGTGATTTTTTGATATACATAGGCCAGCAATGGAAATGTGGAGCCCGGCGTAACGCAGGAGGAAAGCGAAAGAGGCACGCACGAACGCGCAGCACCTGTGTATTTGTCCCCAAAACAGCGAATTTGCAAGTGGGTGCGCTGACGCCTGGTCCTAAGAGTTTGGCATAATGACTCGGAAATAAAACTAAAGGTGGATCCTTGATCCAATAACGCGCGAGCACGCACAGTGCGTCCTTCACACGTGTGCACATTCACCCATGCGGTCGCGAGCAAGATTTGACGCGGCGCATACAATTGAGGCGGTACGGCTTGCACCAATGCGTGTGCGGTACTCGCCGTAGAACCGCTCGCCACGGGCGCGTTCGTCGAGTCCGCAGGGGTGTTCGAGTTTTGAGCATCGCTCGAGGTCGCGTAGTCGCGATGTAGCAACGAGTGATGCGGTTTTTGGCAATGCGAGCAGCGCGACTTGCTCGGGCACGCCGGGGTGTGGTGCCCTGATTTGAAACAGTTGTGACAAAGGCGATTTGACTTGACCGTGTTGTAGCGATTATCGATCGATTGTTTTGCAAAAACTTTACATTTATAGAGCGGGTGATTTTCCGGACACATGACGCATTTCGACGTAACGACAGTGTTCACCGACCCGCGCGCTTTAACATTTCGCATTGGCGCGGACGGAACGGAGGCATCGTGGAGAGTGGGACAGTCGAGCAAACCGCGAGTTCTAATCGTCAAAAAGTCATATAAGTCTTGATAGGTGGGGTGCGCATCAAGTTTGCCCCGCTTTAGATTCCATTCGTTACGGGTTCGTGTACTGAATTTT